GCAAAGACAAGGGTATCCGGTGTTAAGAATCCATTCAGATCGAGCGGGGGAGTTTGTCAATGCACGCTTCCGGTCCTTTTGCGAAACTCGTCTGATATATAGGACCACTGGTGATCCTGGAGCCCCGCAAACAAATGGGCGCGCTGAAGCATGTGTGGGTTTATTCAAACGTGGTGTAAGGTCGCTCTTAAAGGAGGCGCGACTCGGGCCGGCGTACTGGGCACTAGCTGCTCGCCATTGGTCAATGCTACGGTGGCATGAAGCTGAAAGGGAGTTGGGGTTAAACCCCAAAGCATTGCTTCCCTTTGGTGCTCAGATTCAAGTCAAACGTCGTCCGTGGGAGTTGCTGGGTCCGGATGGAACAAAGAAGGGTTCTCAATGGGTCGATCGTACACAGCCCGCGCTTCTTTTTTGGGTCCATGTAAAACCTGGTGGTTCTTGGGCGGAAGCTCAAGGGACTGCAAAAGATCCGCATGAACTGGTGTTATTTCCCTGCACTACAATCTTTTCAAATATTAAGGAACCGCCAGAATTGGAGTTGGAAGGGGTGGCAGAAGAACAGGAGCCTTCTCCTCCAGAGCATCGTCTCAAGGGGAAAAAACCAGCGCTTCGCTTCGCTGATGAGGAGGGCCCTCCATTACCTCCACCTCGCGATCCTCCAGTTCGCCATCGGTTAATGTCAAAAAGCCCGGCCTCTTCACTGCGTGGTCATGTAGGCTCCTTGCGCTCGCTTCGCAAGCGGGGGGAGAGTCCGCCCTTAGAATTTTTGAGGATGACATGCAGGGTCTGGGGGAGCTGGAAGAAAATGCAGATATTGGGGACAATGTTCCTGGTGATTAGTATTGGCCGACTTGTTGTTCTCCTCATGAAGATGCTTATTTGGTCTGCAAAAGGGAGACTGCAGAGGATGGAACACAGTTGGAAAGAGAAGAACAAAAAGCCAAATCGATGTATGAAAGGTCTATGTACGATTACGTGGACTGCGAAGAGCTTTTGGAAGGGATTGTATACCCAAAGAGGGTGAACCGAAGAGGTGGTATTAACAATTGGTGCACAAGTACGCGAGCTCTGGTGTTGGGCCACTATACTCATGGTGGAGTGTGTGGTATTACAAAAGAGACCCATCGGAGGCCATGGCTATGTCGATACCTGGCATCATTCGTGAAGCACCACAATCCTGAAGCCAATTTTTCTGCTCTTCAGATCTCATGCAATGCTCCGGTGTCATTGCATAGAGATAGTCACAATGAGAAGCATTGCTACAATTATGTGTGTGGCTTTGGTGACTATAAGGATGGTCAGCTGTGGGTTGAGGATGAGAAGGTTTTAGAGGAAGGAGCTGAAGTGGTGGAGCAATCCTATGGGAAGAAAGTCTTGCCTGGAAAATTAGTCAATGTCCACTGGAACTTCATGTCGTTCTTTCCGAGAAAATTGCATGGACCTATGCCTTGGAAAGGGAACAGGGTATCTTTGACAGGGTACACACCTGTTTTTATGGAGCGATTGAGCTACAAGGATAGGTGCTATCTTCTCCAATGTAAGTTTCCTCTTCCGGAACCACAAGCTGAAGAAGGTGAAAAAAGGCAGCGGTTAACAATGACGTTGAAAGAGACCTCACTGGACGACATTGCAGAGGAAGTCGACTATGCTGTTTTTGAGGCGCAGCAATGGGCTCTGGAGGAGCATTTGAGTATTCGACGCCTAATTGCTGAACAGGAAGGCTGCGTTTTGGACGAGTTCCTTGAATCGGCCAATTAGTCGAATGGAGAAAAAGGATCAGAGACTAGAGAATGGCTGGTTAAAGCAAAAAGAACAGAGGAACAGCTATCGAAGTTTTTGGTCAAAGCAGCTCAAGTTCAGCAAATGGTGCAAGAAAATATAGCGCTTGAAGCAGCAGAGGAGGTTGAGTTCCTGCAAACGAAAACGATTCCTACACAAGAAGCCATGCAAGAGCTTGAAAAGTGGAGGGAGTCATTGTCGGACGAGGTGACGTCTTTGGTTAAGGAGTTGGAGGTGGTTGAACCAACAACTCAAGAAAAGCTGGACAAATTGGCGGAAGAGCCTAATGCACCGGTGATTGAGTACGTGCCCAGTCTGGTGGTGTTTACCCGGAAACAAGGGACTGGAAGGCGACGTGCCCGTATTTGTGCATGCGGCAATTTTATTTCGTCAACAGCGGCCACAGAATACGAAGGGCCGAGGTCCCTTAGTCGTCACTCGTTGTACGCTCCTGGTTTAGATTCAACTACATTTAGGTGTCAAGTGAGGCACGCAGCATATATGGTGTGGATCATCTCTGGTTTGGACATTTCCAAAGCTTTTCTGACGGCGCCGATGAATAGGGCGCAAAGAGAAGGGCGTCTGGTGGTGGTGCAGCCCCCAAGGGCGGCGGTGAAATTGGGTCTTTGCACAAAGGAGGAGCGGAGGATTGTGAGGAAGGCCTTGTACGGCTTGGCCGAAAGTCCTGCAGCATGGGTGGAGTGGCGAGATCAGCGTCTTCAAGGTATGTCTTGGGTGTCAAAGGATGGACAAGCAATGAGCTTTCAGAGGTCCAATGCAGACCCAAGTCTGTTCCTTATTATGGCACAAGAGAAGCTGGAAGGTGCAAGCAAGTTGGTAGGGACAATGGGTCTTTACGTGGATGATTTTTTGATGGCCGGGACTATGACAGTGCTCCGGGAAGCCTTGGAACAGATCAGGAAGGAGTGGAAAACTTCTGAACCTGAGTTCTGTGGTCCAGGCTGTGGTGATGGATTCCTGAAGTTTTTGGGTGTCCAGATCTGGTATCGAAATGGCAGCTTCTTTCTCAACCAAGAGGACTTCGTGAGAGATTTGCTGAACCGACGAGGGTATCAGATTGATGAAACTGGAAAAGGCAGTAATCTGCCAATGGTTAAAGAAACCCCTGGTGAAGAAGAGGAGGTGGATATTCCTTCCTTACGAGCGGCTCAAGGTGCCGTAGGGGAGTTACTCTGGGTGGCAATCAAAACTCGACCTGATTTGGCTTTCTGCACAAGCCAGCTGTCTTTGTGGACATCTCGAAGGCCGCGATTCGTGGTTAAAAAGGCTGAGGAGGTATTTCGGTACCTTGCTGCAACTCCAACGTTGGGCTTGACGTTTGGAGCAATCGCAACAAGCGAAAAAGAACGGAATGAGTTGTTGCGTTATGGGCGAGGCATCAAGGTGGTAGAGTCCTACGCAGATGCTAGTTTTGCAGCAGGTGAAAACGAAAAGAGCCACTCAGGAGCGGTAGTGGTTTGGGGTGATTGTCCGGTGATGTGGGCAACGCAGAGACAGTCAACGGTGGCTTTGAGTACTGCTGAAGCTGAGTTACATGCGTCTATAGAGGGAGCAACGATGATTCAGTCGTGTACCCCCATAATTGCCGCTTTGGTGGGAACCGGTGAAGAAACGCTGCAGAAAGTGTTGTATACAGATTCGGTTTCGACGTGCTCAATTATTCAATATCCTGCTGGAAGCTGGAGGACAAGGCACCTGAGAATTCGAGCAGCTGGTGTCAGGTCTCTGGTTGACCGTGGTTACATGGTGACAGCACATCTCCGTGGTGAGTACATGATCGCTGACCTGTTAACCAAACTGATGAGTGGACAGGTTTACGCGAAACAAAAGGCGCTTTGGGGTCTCCAAATGTTGGTGCAAGGAACTGACTTGAAAAGGGCCTCTCTTGCAATGGCGGTCATGATGGTGGCTGCATCTCTTCAAGGGGTGGCAACCGTTCAGGGTGAAGAAGAAGTGTCAAATGCTGGGTTCTTTTGCTCAGAAGAAGGAGTGTGCAGAGTAGCCAACACATCTACGGTTATGGTTCTGGCTCAAGGTATTGAAACGGTTATCAACAATGTAGATATCGCTGTGTATTTGGTGGCAACAATCACACTCTGGGAACTGGCCAGGTATATCCTTCGGCGGCTGTATAAATGGCTGTGGGGCAGGAAAGTGGTGGTTATTCCCGTGAGTGCCACTTTGTATACAACGGTGGGTGGGAACCGTAGTATGCACGCGAGCAGTGACTGTGATGTTCTGCGCTATTCACAGCCCAGGGCCAAGACGCTTTGTAAGCATTGTGTCAAAAAGAGCTGGGTGGTGAACGCTGAGTTCCTTGGTGAGGAACAGATCACTGGAACGTAGACTTTTAAATGCGAGGTGAAGAGATCCTCAATGGTTAAAAGAATTCGGCCAATGCGCTGGAAGTTCGTCCTGGAAAGACGTTAAACCATGGTTTGCAAGTTAATGGCTACGGCCCGTCTATTGGACGTTAAACATATGTTGGTTGCTGTTACAAAGACAGTTTTTGGTTAAAATGGAAGGGACCCTGCACCTCCAAGGGTGTCCTGAGGGAACCTCAGGACAGGGGGAGTGCGGAGGTTGCATTGTATAGGTTGAAAGGGTTAAATACCCGCAAACCATTTTGGCTCAAGAACCTGGGCCATGCGCCCTGTAGCAAAAAAGAACTCTGGGTTTTGGGTTGGTTTGTTGTTGGTTGTTCCAGGGGAATCAAGGGTTTCTGTTGGGGTTGACTGTTTTGTTCCCTGTCCCCCTTCGGTCGCCCCCCGTATAGGGATTAGGGTCCCCGGGTAGTAGGGTTTCGGGTCCTTCCGTTGCATCTGGGGCTGAGGAGATCGAAAATCACGGACGGGATGCTTCGATACCTGGGTGTCTCCCAGAAGATCCGTTTCAGGTTCATTTAGGGTTTAGGGTTTAGGGTTTAGGGTTTTAGGGTTTTAGGGTTTTAGGGTTTTAGGGTTTTAGGGTTTTAGGGTTTTAGGGTTTTAGGGTTTAGGGTTGAGCTAATGTAGGGTTTAGGGTTCAGGGTTCAGGGATTTTTATGCAGTAGACTTCCAAGTCCCTAAACCTGGAAGGCCTCGACTGCAAAGCCGCAAAGGCCCCTTGCAATGACTCAGGGGTCAACACCAAGGTCTCTTCGGGATCATCCCAAAACCCAGAAGCCAAAAACCCTAAACCTTAGGGTTTAGGGTCCCCACCTCATAGACGCGTCCGTCGTGACAGCTAGGCCTGGTCTCCCCAGCCTACTTGGAGGTTCACGGGTAAGCTACGGTTACACTCGACCCAAGAGAAATCTAAGAAAATTAGGGTTTAGGGTTTAGGCTTTAGGGTCTAGGGTTTGGGGCTGGAGGGAATAAGGGCCTACTGTGGGTCCTACGTCCTAGATACAAGTAATGCAACTTTCATTGTCAGGGGCTATGACCTCATTTTGCAACTGGTGTACTTATAACCCTACTACACATGAACCTTCAAGTAGCGGTTCAGGAGTTTAGACTGTGGGCTCTAAGGGCCTGGGGAGAGTTCAGGGATGAAATGACTAGGGTGTAGGGTTTAGGGTTAGGGGTTTGGTGTCGGGAGTTTAGGGTTTAGGGTTTAGGGTTTAGGGTTTAGGGTTAGGGGTTTAGGGTTTAGGGTTTAGGGATGGACAACTACTGGAAACCCCGGCTTTTGTCGTGCTTGCCCACCTTGGGCTTAAGTCACTTGGCGGAGCCCTCTCTTCCCTCAACCCTCACTTGACTTAGTTGTCCAGTAACCTTTGGGAGTTTCTAGAGATTAGGATACCCCAAAAAGGCTAAAGTTACCTACTCTACTACTAAGTTGAAGGTTCATGGGCAATTCTAAGCAGGGTTACAGGCCCTAGGTTCAGTTGTGATGATAGTTGGCCTACTTCTAGGCCCCCTTGTAACTACCCATGAACCTGCAAGCGGAAACGACTATGGGGCCCAAAGTAACTCCCCATAAACGTACTTGGACCTTTTGTGAATTCTTGTTTTGCGGGATAAGGAAGGTTGAGGGCTTTTTCAGCTGTTGTCTAGGGCTTAAGGGCTTGGGGTCTATAAAATAAGGTTGGCTTAGGGGTTGCTTCTCTAAAATTCTTCCTCGCCCGTTTGGCCACATGCCCGCGCAGCTTAGGGGATCATTGGGAGCTTCCCTTAAGCCTAGACCCTAAACCCTAAATCCTAAACCGTAAACCCTCAACCCCTCAGCTGGAGGGGAAGGGGAGGGGATCATTTGGCCTCAGTTCGGCCGGGCATCTAGGGGAGCCCACTACTTCCCTCAATTCTGGAATGCAGCTCAAACTTGAGAAGGCTCCCTATGATGAACTGGGTTTAGGGTTTAAGGTTTATAGGGTGTAGGGCTTATGGTTTAGGGTTTTGGGTCCACTCCTTCATCCCAATAAGCAAGGGCAACCCCCCAAACCGACACACGCATCCTGGGTCCCTGGGCGCATGAGATGGTGCCCGTGTGTAGACCTCAAGCAATCGCCCGCGACCATGAGCTAACTTTGGGATCCCACTTATACTAACAGACCTTAATAGGGACTATAGGGGGGGGGGGGGGGGTAGTATAATAATCCTTTTTGCGGACTGTCAGTATAAGGGGGAACATCCCAAAGCTAACTGAAGAATTGGGTTGTTCGTTGCGGGGGGGCGACATGGTCAGTTCCCCACACATCATGTCATCCTGGGTACCCTGAAAGCAAGGGGTCGAGGTATTAAACCCTGAACCCTAAACCCTAAAACCCACCGTGAATGCTTACGCCTTAGTGGTTCTTCGTAAGAGGGGGTGAGGGGCGTCCTTGTAAGCACCTCTGAACCGGGCAGCACTATGTTTAGGGTTTAGGGTTTAGGGTTTGGGGCTTAGGGTTTAGGGTTTGGCGTTTAGGGTTTAGGGTTTACAGGACTCTGCTGGCTCAACATGTAGATCAGGCCACGATCAGAGGGGCAGTCCATGTTACCAGGTAGGATCCAGGAGGTGTAAATGGACGTTCGAGGTCTTTCGTGTACAGTGTAGACTTGTTGGCTGTCGGCACACATCCCACCAGGTGGCCCTAACCTAAACCCTGGACCCTTTTTTACTGAAACTTATTAGCCCCTCAACCCAGTCTAGAAGTTGCTCTAATTTCAGTTCGAGATCCCCAACTCTGAAGGTCTTCTGGGGTCTAATGTCTAATGCTGCACATGCTTTATTTGGGGGGCACAAGTCAAGTTTGCCGGGCTCTTCATACGATGATTTCGCGTGGCACGGCTTGACAATCAACTGCCCGGTCTTGCAAACCCGACAGCCCGAACCCCTGCCCAAAGCTCATTCCCTTTAAAGCAGCAAGGTATGCAGTGGGAAAAACAGCACGAGAAGGGTTACAAAAACGAGGGGCCCCAGAGCGCTCACTCTCTTTGAATAAGGGTAAGTAAAGCTCACCTTTAAAAAAACCAATACTACCAATAAACGGGTATGTTGCAAGCCTTGCTTCTGTTATTATGGTTGCTCATGCTAGTATCAGCATATTCCGTCATCCCCTTCTGACCAACAGTACGGAAATAGGAACCCCAGCGCCCGGTGTGCCAAGTGCCGGGCACAGCGCTCCTCACGCAAGAAGCTCAGACCTTCTCGCGCGAAGTGTGAAAGCTTCGGTTTAGTATACTTAGTCCGCCACTCCTCATCCTTCAACCCAGGCAAGCTAGAGCGCGTTGCTAAGAGAATACCTTAAGCAAGCGATAATTAACCCAACTCTTCAGAAGGTGTGCAAAACCTGCACTGCTAACTGCTTTCTGCCACTTGCCCCGCTTGCCCCACTTGCCGCTCCGGGCCCGCTGGCCTCACTCGCCCCACTTCTTCCTGAACCCTCGGCCGACCCTGCTCTCCCTACCCAAATTCAAAGAAGTCTAAAGTGGACCGATTCATTCAAGAGGGTTCGAAGGGAACGGGCTGACGAAGTGAACAACAAATCGAACACAGTAGTGGCTGGGAGAAGGAAGGGGAGAGGGGGAAGGTTAGAGGGAGGGGGTGGGGAGACTGTGCTCCCTGGCCCCACCAAGTGGGGCAAGTGAGGCAAGGAATTAGTGGTTGCTGTAGGCGCCCGCCATGCAACTTTTCAGGTACAACTTCCTTGTCTGAAGGGCGCCTTGCTGTGATTAACAGTGACTATCTGGGCAAGAACGAACGAAAACTCGAAACCCGAAACCCTAAACCCCAAACCCTAAACCCTAAACCCTAAGCCCTAAACCAGCCCGGCTCTGAGCGCATGTTCTTCGAGGGTTTCTGCAAGCACTCGCTGCAACAGCTCCACTTCGAGGTTTAGGGTAAGCCCTCGAGCATGACCCTAAGGGTCCATATGCCACATTATTATGTACTTGGGCCCACAAGCACAAGAGCGTGGCGTCAGCATGGTCGTAAAAACGCTCCCGCTGAGCGACGCCGAGCGAGGCCGACGCCGAGCGACGCCGAGCGACGCCGAGCGCCGAGCGACGCCGAGCGACGCCGAGCGCCGAGCTAAGACGAGCGACGCCGAGCGCCGAGCGAAGACGAGCGACGCCGAGCGCCGAGCGAAGACGAGCGACGCCGAGCGCCGAGTGAAGACGAGCGACGCCGAGTGAAGCCAAGGGACCTTGTAGGGTTTAGGGTTCTTTTGCCGCCCGCGTATAGCTGACTCAGTCGGGCCACTCGCTGGGTGTAGGGTTTAGGGTGAAGAAGAGTGTAGAGTTTAGGGTTAAGGGTTAGGGTATAGGGGCTAACCCTCTAGACCCAGAGTAACTTACAACTGGTGCTTTGCTATAAGAAACATGAAGTCCTCAACCCCCCCCCCGCCCCCCCTCCGCAAGAAGTAGCGGTCCTGTGGGATGGATGTTGAAGGCCCGAAACCTATATGAGCAGCCGCAAAAAATCTTATGTAAATACGAATTTAAAATTCGTGGGGTATCAGTTTTGGGGGGGGCCTTATCGCTTCTGGGACTTTGGCTCAATGCTACTGCGAAAACCTATCGCTTTACTGCTTATGAGATCCTAAACCTGGAACCCTCCCCTAAATACACCTGAATTCCTAAACCCGTTCCTTTCTTTAGGACCTGTAGAGTAAAGAGTGAGAGTGCTTCTTTTCTAGGAGTTGGAGCTCTCGCTGCTCGAATCAGAAATCCAAATCCTAAACTTCGAGCCCTCAACGTGGGCCAGGGTTTTTACCCAGCTCTTCGGGTGGCCATATGGGTATCGTAGGGGTATCGCTTTGAGTATCGCGTTGGAATCAGACCCAACCACGAAATCATGACATTGCTGCAGAACGACTTCTAGATTCAAGATTGAGGGTATCGCTTTTTTTTTTTTGGGGGGGGGGGGGGGGGGCCTATCGCTCTACGAGGTTTTAGGCACGAACGTGGATTTTATCTCCACCACAAGAAACCTCCTACAACGTAATAAAAGTGGTCGCTCATATAATCCCCAAGCCATCGCAAGCCTATTCTAGCAGAAGAGCTCACAGCGCGACGCGGAGCGACGCAACACGACGCCGAGCGAAGATAAGTGACACCGAGATATGCCGAGGAAGTCAAAGGTACTAAAGCAATCCGAGCACCTGTTTAATTAATACCCCCACATTTAAAGAGTTTTTTTTGTCCGGAAGCCCGCCGGAAGACTACTTTCCATTAGGGGGGTTTCGTATGGGGAAAACCCACCACATTTAAAGAAAATCTTTTCGGGGGGTTTCCAAAATCTGTCGGCAGGCTTCTTGTTTTGCTTGCTGAGCTGTGAAGCTACAGCACCTCGGGGATCTGCAGCCTATTGCTTTTTAATAGAGAATCAACACAGGGCCATGGTCCAACTATTGCGGAACCTTGCCTTTCGTATTGCGGCGGGAGGGGGGGGGGCCCCCAATTAAACAGGTGCTCGGATTAAAGCGGTGTGTTTTTGGGTGTCTTTGATCGGCTTCGAGTGGTCGCTCATCTTCGCGTGTCTTCGCTTGAAACACGCCCGTCGAGCGCCACGAAGCGCCGAGCGCTGAGCGACGCCGAGCGCCGAGCGACGCCGAGCGCCGCCGAGCGCCGCCGAGCGACGCTGAGCGACTGAGCGACGCCGAGCGACGCCGAGCGTCGCCGCTCGTCTTCTCTCGTCTTCGCGCGTCTTCGCGCGTCTTCGCTCGTCTTCGCTCGTCTTCGCTCGCCTTCGCTCGTCTTCGCTCGTCTTCGCTCGTCTTCGCTCGTCTTCGCTCGTCTTCGCTCGTCTTCGCTCGTCTTCGCTCGTCTTCGCGTGTCTTCGCGTCTTCGCGTGTCTGTGCGGATTTACGCACGACCGCGCCACCGATGCAATCACAAGTCCCTACATAAGAGGTCCTTTAAGGCCCAAGTACTCCCGATTTAGGTACATGGACCTATATAGGGTGAGACGGAACTCATGGCAGACCCCGCACATGTTAGTGCAAGCTTGCAAATAGACATGCGAGACACGACAAAGAACAGAAAACCTCCTCCAGCATGTATCTCTGCGGCCGAACACGATCAGCATGAGTTCACGAGAACCGCGCCTGTCTGGTTCTGCGGACTGCCCGCGTGCACAACCTCAGCCAAGCGCGCAATAAAAGGTAAGTTGCTTGGCTTGTCCGGAAGCATGCTTCGGGGTTCCTCACAAGTGTTCAGAAGGGAAACTGAGAAGCAGTGTAAACCCAAAACCTGCGATCCCCTAAACCCTAAACCCTAAACCCTAAACCCTAAACCCCTGCAGTCGAGGTCGTCGGAAGGGGTTTGGGGTTTAGGGCTGCTTGAAGGTTCATGGGTGGCTATAAGTAGGGTTTAGGGTTTAGGGTTTAGGTTACTAAGTACCCTCAATAAGGTTATAACCAGTTGTAGCTATGGTTACCCTACTCATAACCCCCCCCCACCCATGAACCTCCAAGCGAACCCTTTGAGTTACAGAGGCAAGTAGCGCTCTGGGTTTGCACTTTGGGGCTCTGGGCTTGGGCTTGAGCTTGCAAGCTCAGGGTTGTGCGACGAGGCACTTTGGCCTTAAGGTTTAGGGTGCCGGGTTTCTGGGTTCAGGGTTTATGGTTTAGAGGGTTTAGGCTTCAGCTTGCAGCTTAGCTATGCTGGAAAAGAAAGAATCTTTCCTTAGAGCGCCAGAGCCCTAAGCCCTTGCGTGCAAAGCCTAGGAAGTACAAGGAAGGCCTTGAAGGACCCCTTGCTCTGCTAACTTAACTGTAGGTATATAAAGGAACAAGTTCTGACACTTATAACCTGTGTTAGAGCCCTTCTAACTCTACTTGGAACTGAGGGGGGAGGGGGGAAGGAGGCCTCCTTAAGGCAGATATACCCTTTTCACCCTCAACCCTAAACATACCAAGAAGAAGGAAAGCAATACTTCCTAAACCCGAAACCCTAAACCCTAAACACTTTTTTCTAAGACTAAACCCTAAACCCTAAACCGTAAACCCTAAACCCTAAACCCCCCAAACCCCAAAAACCCGAAGCCCTTGTAGAGGGGCTTGGGCCCACACCATGTTGGAGCTCATCTTGAGGTGCCTTGCGACTCCACTCCCGTACTTATAGGGTTCTTAAGGGAGGGGGGTTCAAGGGGGGTTAGGGTTTAGGGTTTAGGGTTTAAGGGTTTTAGGGTTTAGGGTTAAGGGTTTAGGGTTAGGGTTAAGGGTTAAGGGTTAAGGGTTAAGGGTTAAGGGTTAAGGGTTAAGGGTTAAGGGTTAAGGGTTAAGGGTTAAGGGTTAAGGGTTAAGGGTTAAGGGTTAAGGGTTAAGGTTTAAGGGTTAAGGGTTAAGGGTTAAGGGTTAAGGGTTAAGGGTTAAGGGTTAAGGGTTTAAGGGGTTTAGGGTTTAGGGTTAAGGGTTAGGGTTTAGGGTTTAGGGTTTAGGGGGTTTAGGGTTTAGGGTTTAGGGTTTAGGGTTTAGGGTTTAGGGTTTAGGGTTTAGGGTTTAGGGTTTAGGGTTTAGGGTTTAGGGTTTAGGGTTTAGGGTTGAGGGTTTGAGGGGGGTTCTTAAGGCAGGTATAACTCCCCACTACTCTCTAAGGCTCCCTAAGCTTCCCTTAGGCTCCCTAGGTACCTACCCCCCCCCATGAACTCCCCCCCCCCCCCCGGGCTGAAAAATTAAAAACTCTATAACGTAAGTAAACATCCCAAGGTTCGTGCGGGGAGAACTGTGAGCCCTGGTCTCCCAGGATGGGGCCCTATGAACCTCAATTACAACACGTTGGCGTATAATAAAGTGTTGTACTATAATGTGCGCAAAAATAAATACAGTGCTAAATAAATATAAATAAATAAATATATATATAGATATATGTATATATATATATATGTATATGTGTGTATGTGTATATATATATATAGAAACAAGAAGTTGCTTAAAGGTCTTCTACGCCTACGCTAGCTCGAAGTCATTCGATTTCGAGCTGTTGTCATGTCTGACTGCTATTCTTTTTTTTATTTCTTCGAGGACTATCACAATAACCACAACACAATAGCAACAACCACCGCAACCATGATGACCTTACTAGAAATGGTGAAAAGTATGAGTAGAAGTACCAGGCATAGTTGCAGGCACGGTTCAAGTCATAGTCATAGAGTCATACCCATAGTAATCGTAATTGATGATCGTACGTGGAAATTGTAGGAAGAATCGACAGGAATAGCAATGGTACATCTTGACGGCACAAGGAGTCTTATTCTTTCTGCATCCTAACCTTAACAGCATCCGCGCTGTATTACAGCAAGCCTCTAGCCCGAAACCCTTGACCATAAACCCCAATTAATCCCAACCCTAAACCCTAAACCCTAAACCCTAAACCCTAAACCCTAAACCCTAAACCCTAAACCCTAAACCTGGTCTCTTGGGGCCTCATCTGGGGGCGTGAAGCTTTGAAGCTTCGGCTGCATACAGTTGTAGCAGAAGTGCGACGCACGCAAAAAAGGCTTCCTCGAACATCCCAAAGCCATAAGCCCCAAACTCTGAAACCCTAAATGCCCCAAATCCCTCTGAAGGAAGGCAAGACGATGGTCGTTGCACGAAACTCCCTTGAAACCCTGAGTCCTAAATGTCCACAGCTCACCCTAGCCCAAAATCCGAAACCCAAGCAAGCCCTGAAGCAAGTCCAAAGCTCCAAACTCCAAAGAGGCAGAAGCAGCTTGAGTTCGCCAAGTGGCACAGTGGTGCTGGCCGTGGAGGCTTTGCTGGGGTAGCCTTCAGGCTTAGGGTTTATAGGGTTTATAGGGTTTATAGGGTTTATAGGGTTTATAGGGTTTATAGGGTTGAAAGGGTTTAGGGTTTAGGGTTTAGATTGCTTGAGGGTTTCTGCCAAAGCCCTGAAGCTCCTCTTGTCTTGAGCTCCAGGGCGAAAAACTTTCCAGGGACCTCTAGGGCTGTACCCTTGCGTTTTCGGGAATCTTTTCTCAAGGTCCTTGAGGCCCTTAAGGTAGTATAAAGGCCATATTAGGAGCATAGGTTTGGGGATCCTTTCTAAAGGTCCTTAAGGAAGTATAAGGGCCATATTAGGAGCATAGTTTTGGGGATCCTTTCTAAAGGTCCTTAAGGTAGTATAAGGGCCATATTGGGAGCATATTCGGGGTACGAGTCTTAATCCCTTGAGCCTTAGGCGAAAGCAGCCCGAAACACTGCCAGTATGTTACGACTCCTTCCTCTCATGGCTGAGCGCAACTTGACCAGAATTCCACGTTAGGTCGAAGTACTCTCCCTGCACTGGTATGTAAAGCCCTCCCCCACCCCGCATAGACCCCCACCCTAAACCCTAAACCCCCTAAACCCTAAACCCTAGACCGTAAACCCTATACCCTAAACCCTAAGCCCAGGGTTGCGATGCCAAACCAAAGAACCCCGGGCCTCCCGTCGACGGCGCTGGCTGCATGATGACGTCAAACCTTGCCCGCGCAGGGTTTATAGGGTTTTGGGTTTTTAGGGTTTAGGGTCTAGGGTCTGGGTTTATTTTAGGGTCTCGGGTTCAGGATTTGAGGGAGTCAACCCTCCTTCGCAGAAGGCGAACTAAGAATAATCATGATGATATGAGGGGTCGAGGGTTTGACCCTGTAGGGTGTGGTGTTCCAGAGGGCTTACCACGCAGGAACCTTTCATCAGAGACCCTTTCCGTGGCGGTTCTGATCTGCCTTTGCATGCCTGTACTCAAGTGTCCACGCAAAAAAGGAGTTCCGCACGTTTCAGGCTTTTTAAGCAACAGGCGAGTGACAACAACTAGATGAACAAATACTCCCACCGTGATGAGTGATGTAAAACTTAGCAAGAAGTTCACACATGTTAGTCATCACCATCACCATAGTAAGTTTTGCAGAAAAAGAAAAACAAGAACCATAATAATAAAATCAATAACAAATAGTAGAGAAACTACAAACAGCAGGAATACCCACAATCCTCAGCGAATATTACAGAACACTAGCAGTTAGCATGAAACATAACAACGATAATAAATTAAGCCACAACCACAACCGCAAGAATTGTGCCAACAAGAAAACAACTGGCTGGTTCTTAGTAGGGAATGAGGGAATGAGGGCCCTACATACACCCTTTAAGGGATTCTATAGGGCCCTCATTCCCTCATTCCCTACTGGGAACCAGGGGGGAATATTGCCAAACCCTAAACCCTAAACCCTAAGCCCTAAGCCCTAAACCCTAAACCCTAAACCCTAAACCCTAAACCAACAAGAAAACAAAACCAACCCCGAGTCCAGGCATCTGTTCGCATTCTTTTTTTTCCGGCCCCATGCAGGCTGCAGAGACTCAGAGGAAGGTGGCACCTGCGAGCTTCAAGGGTTTAGGGTTTAGGGTTTAGGGTTTAGGGGTGTTTGGGGGTTTCGGTTTGAGGGAAATCGGGGTGGGGCGTGGGGGGTGTTCGAGATTAGGGTCTTAGGGTTCACCAGAGGGGAATCCATGGAGTAAGGGCTTCTATGTAAAAACTCAAGTGCAGGCTCTAATTCATAGTATCCTCCAATTTGTAGTGTCGGCCGAGGTTCCAGGCGTATAAGACGTCTAGGCTGCTGCGCGACAGCGACACACCACAGCCACTGGCGGCGCAATATCTCGGAGTGACCTACAAAATGTGAAAAACATGGCAATACCGAAGCCCCCCACCCCCCAAAGAAGGATCCTACAGTGATGGTATGAAAAGCATAGGGTGAACTTGTGTTATGAGACATGCCACGGCCCTCCAAACCCTAAGGCCCTAAACTTCAGTCCTCAAACCCTAAACCCTAAACCCTGAAACCCTAAACCGAAGACCAATTGAAGGAACAACAGCACCGAGCCTTTGAAGAGTCGCGGAATCGCACCGAGTCCAGGCGCAAACACGTCGACTTCCTGACTCGATGGCGCAGTAACCCTAGGGTAAGACACAGCTAACCTTTAGGGTTTAGGGCTTAGGGGGTTTAGGTTTACGGTTGAGGTTTTATCATACCCAAATCTTACCTACTCAGCATTCATGTCACTGCGGCCTTGAAACTCAACCCGAGGCGCGGGCTTCGCGTGTGATTGAGGAAACCCTACACCCCAAACTTCCTAAACCCGAAATCCTGAACCCCGAAGCGCCCTAAACTCTAAGGGCAGCCAAATGGTCCCTTCATATGTGCCCTTAGATGGGGGGACCCTTATATCCCCAAAAGAACCCAAGAACCAATACGAGCACTTCAGAACCCTGTAAAGAAGGTAGGGACCATAGGAAGGGACCATGCAGCTACCAAACCCTACACCGCTTTGACCTCTGCCAGACCCTAAGCCCTTTTTGCAAAACCCTGATCTCTCCCCCCCCTCTACCTTCTACCCTCCCCGCGCCCTGCTACTACACCCTAAACCCTTTTGAACCCAGACTGAGACAAGCTTGCTGGGATTCCTGCCAACACCCTAAACCCTAAACCCTAAACCCTAAACCCTAAACTCCTAAACTGGTTCCGGCTCGCTTTAAGCTGTTGTGCAGCGAGGTCGCAGGAGGGGCCGAAGGTGCTGGTGTGGGCTCCTTAAATCAGGGGTCGGGGCGGATTTAGGGGGTGGCTATGACTGAATACATCCATAACATACATACATACTTATTTATATATATATATATATAGGTATACATGCACATATGCATACAACAAACGGTATAGAAAATATAACATCAGACTATATATGTTATATATGTATATACATATGTATATACACATATGTAGAAGCTCTTGCCTGCAGATTGTTGTGCAGCGTTCTTTCCCTTTTAAGAGTTGCAGTCGAGTCGGGTCAATTGCCCTCGTCAGAGGGTTGCTTGTCAACCGCCACAGGGTTTGTTTCAGGGTGCGGGTGCTTGAGGCTGTAGGGCTCAAGGTTTCAAGGGTTTTAGGGTTCAGAGTTTCAAGGGCTGAGGGTTTCAAGGGGTGAAGTGTTTCGAGGGTTTAGAGGCCTCGTTGGGTCCCAGCGCCTAAGCCTCCCTCATGCAAGGACGGGGGGGCCTTACTTTGCCAGCTGTGCGGCACTTATGTTGAACCGGCTTTTACTTG